GAAGCGTACCTTAAACTCCTTATATAAAGGTGTATGTCCTCCGACATAAAACACTTTAGCCCAGCTATGTTGGACCTGTGGCTAAGAAAAGCATTGACCTCAGCAGCACGGTGAAACCCATGCTTTTGAAAGCTTTATGGGCGTCTGCCATTTAATTTGACCTCTGCAGTCCAGCTCTTGATACGAGGTAACTGGTTGATGTAGCTGAGCAGACGGTTCGGAGCTGAAAGTGAAATGACAGCACACTTACAGAGGTTTTTGTTCAAATACATTTTCCTAGCAGTGAGTTTGTGTAAGTGAATTTGCATGGATTTCAGGTTGCGTTTGCATACTTCTCCGTGTGTGACCTTTAGCTGGATTCTCTCTTGTATTCCTCTGTGCGTTTCAAAAGAAATATCTCCCTGAACAGTAGTTACAGTTGCAGTATTTATATAAGATTATCCTTCATATATTATGTATTTTTATCTTGTTTAATCTTTTAAAAGTCTACATTATCAAGTTGACTTTTAAAAAGTTAGATATTGACTACAGTACAATAGAATCTGCTGTAACTGGTTTTGACCACTTGGGGCAGCGTAGCAAGCTTTAAAGTACTTACATAGTTTCATCTCATAATGTATTTATGTAAAAGTGTAGGCAAACACAGACTAATAGCATACGATACATTTAACACATCTGTCCCCTCCATCCATCTGGTGCCATTGACTTGTAAGTTGATTTTGTCAGACGTCACTGTGAACATTAAATAATGATTAGGTCAGCCGGGCCGTCTGCACCAGATGTTTGCTGTTTACCAACTGAAAAGGGGAGACATGCAGGTCTTTACAAAAATGACCTGGAAACTTTAATGCAGATACTAATGATTTCCACGTGTGTTTTAAAATTTACAGTTTAATGCAGATCACGCAAACTATTTCTGTCCCATTTTTGGCACATGGTTGTGACACCTTTCAAATGGCTGCCCACACAGAACACACGGACAAAAGCACATTTTTAAAGTCTATTTTCTCCTCTTTATGTGTTTGATAATAAACACATTGTCTTTTAGGTGTTAGATGCTGGACATAGGATTTCTTAAATTCATCAACAATTTGATTATTTGCTAAAATACATTTATTGTTTCAACTTTACAGCAAGATCATTTTGCTTAAAACATGTTCTATTGCTCCCATTCTTAACTTTACTGAGCTGTTCAACATATGCAGATTTTCATTAACCTTATACCCAAGTTCCCAATGGAGCCATTGTGAGTTATGAAGTTGGAGAAATTATTTTGGACACCCAGGGTCTGTCCACTGACAATAATGGGCGACTGGCACTTTCTTTTGAATTGTCATGAATCTGCTGTATTAAGGCTTTTTTTATATTTAGATATGTGTTGGGGTGGCTCAGGGTCAGGAGGTAGAACAGGTCGTCCACTAACCAGAGGGTTGGCGGTCAGTCTTTCCAATTCTTTGGGCAAGACACTGAACTCCAAATGGCTCCTGATGGCTGTGCTGTCAGTTTGTGAGTGATGTATCATGTGCTGCACATACAAAAATACTATTAAGTACTTTGACTGGTCATAAAGACTGTAACGTACTATATAAATACACACCATTTACTATTTACCATTTTCCGTATGTGTGACCTCAAAGATAATCAGGGTGACAACAAATCAAATGTTACATTTTTAATAAACAATGATATAAATGATTTGAGTTGTAAGCTTGAAATAGTTTAAACAAAAATGATGTATCTTCATTATAACATATATGGATTTTATATAATCCAGTATGATGTTTTAGTTTGGTGGAGAAAATCCTTATTTCGTTAGCTAGTGAGCTCCCTCTGTGTTTCTGTCCTTCACATGCTTGCTGGCAGTTTGGCTGATCTGGTTGAGCAGCTCTCCAGGTTTGTCCCTCCATCTCTTTATCTCTCCATCTCCCTCCCTCTCTCTCTCTTTGATGTGTCAGTTGAGTCGGGTTGGAGTCGGGCGGGCAGCCATGTCCATCAGCTCCATCCGTCAAGTGGTGGGCCGGGTGGCAGAGAGAGGATGACAGGCAGCAGAGAAGGGGCAGATGTTTTGCAGGGACTGATATGTGTTCACGTCCACGAGGGATGTCATTACGTGGCGGACAGAGAAACATGGAGCTGATTAGCAGCTTATTAAGTCAAGGACACTGGCTCCCAGTAACACACACCTCTCGCATTCTGGCTTGTTGTGCGGATGGCTTGCCAGTCACTGAGCACGTGAGCATCTCAGATGGATAACCTCTCTCTCTCTAATTAACTGCTGGTCTGTTGCTGAACTCTAAGCTCCTTTTGATAAAACCAAAAAGCTCCAAAAAGAATAAAAGCCGCTTTTCCCATTTTCACTGTAGTTTCCCTGAAGGGGAGAACTCAGAGGTACATAAGGTTTGTGGATTTATCTCTCTGAGAGCCCACACTATGTTGTGCTAAGTAAATAAAGCAGCATCTCCCGGAGGGCATGTAAGGATTGCAGGAATTGAGGAAAGTGGACAGTGCCGCAGAGAGAGGGCTTTACCCCTGATCCAGGACAATGGCTGAAATGGTAATGTTGAGAATCTCATCTGTGCCCTGTGTTCTCGCCTTTAGTTGGATCTCCTGAGCTTCTTTTGAACAGTAAGCCTTGCCATGTGCTGTAAGAAATCTGGATTTACTACAAATCACATCAGCCTTATGCCCCCTCCTCTTTTTCCTGTTTTCTTCCTTTTCCACTGCCTCCATTTTTCATCTCTGAATATTTTTTATATCTGTTTAATAGAGAGTAACTTACCGCACCATAAATTGCAGCTATGTGTGTCTGCATTTCATGTGTTTTGAGTGGTTAGAGCAATAAATGGGCTCAGGGCTATGAGAACAGTGAAAAACTACAGGCAGTGGTGGACCACTTTAATAGGCTTTGGATAGTTTCACTCAAAAATAATACAGTTTCACCAAAAATATATTGTTATGTTCCCCAAGACAGCACTGATAAACGTTTTTATGTGTAAGAGAAACTGAGTGATGGAAATAGATCCACAGAACAGACTCTGCAGATGTTCAGGAGTGAACAACTTGGGTCTCATTTTTGTATTTTGGGCCATCATTTCTAACATCCCCAAAGTATTTCAACATAAAGTTTGGAAGAGGAACGTGCATGAGCATTTAGATGATGATGAAGAGTTCTACTCTGGTATCCTTGCCTTTCATTAGTCAAATCTATAAGCATATCACATTAAACTTGCTCAAATCAACTTAGAAACCATAAAAAGATACTCCTAATAGATATAACCTAATCATCATGTTTATATGTTTTAGTGTTTATTATCATGTATCTATACTGTGACAACCCACCTTGTTCAAATTTGTCCTGCCACAGTTTCACAATGTACTAGAAAATGTTGACACTTCTCATTATAAAATAAGAGATCTCTATCTTGGGGTTAACATAAAATGAACAATCTGTATCTTACCATAGCAGATGGGTCCAATTGTCAATATGTTTGCTGCATACATTTTTACAAGGAAATTACACTTTTGAAAAAAAAAAAAAAAGGAAAATGAATATGTGGCAGTCAGTGCTGATATTAACGGCCCCCATCAATAAATTAATGTTTGTGAAACACTCAAACATTTAAAAATGTTTTGGCTCATAATGAATCTGTAGCGAGCTGGAGGGTGTCAGCTGACAGCTGTCTTTAATGTGGCCCAGGACACGTTTCATTCACACTGCTAAAAGAATGTGGCAGACCACCTACCACCTGTTTTTAAAGCTGTCTACTTGTGATGGGATCACCAGTGATGGATGACCGACAGCATGGTGAGAGGAGGACAGGAGGCAAGGACACTTGGAGCAGCCAAAATATGTCAATCAAATCAAATGCTCCATGGAGGAAACCAACTTCATTTAAATTTCTGCAACTTTGTGTTTCTGTTTCAGCTGGAAGTTGGATGGAGTTCTTTTACAGACACATTTCTCTTTTACCCTGCTGTTAAATTCACTGTCTGCAGTCTCATGTCATGTTGTGAAGAACTGATGGTCACTCATAAACATCCCTCCAGAAAACATCTACCAATGTTTTCCTAATCTCTTAGCTGTAACTCCATTTTACCTTCAAATTTGAAGGGAAAAAAAAGACCCTTTTCTTGCCCTCATTTCTTGGCCTGTCAGACTTTGCTGTAGCAACTTTCTCCAAGCTCCCAGGTCTCTGTAATTACTTTGTTCAATGTCACCGTAAGTGGAAGAAGTCATTGGCAAAACCACAAGCAACACTCAGAAATCTGCTTTAACCCAAATTAAACTATAAAAAGATGAATTGAGCTTCATGCATTGTGCATGTAAACCTCCCCGCCACATGGCCAACCTGTCATTTGCATTATAAAAAAACAAGCCAGTGTGGAGGGCGACTTGCCTTGTTGTGTCTTCCCCTCGCTCTCGCTGCCTACTAGTTGCTCTCAGTTATCTCAGTCCACTGGCAGCAGGAGCTGACGTGCTCTTGGTTTTTCTGTCTTCTCTTCGCAATGTGTCAGGTCCAGTTTAGCACTTGAGGGCAGGATGTGTCAGAATCACAGTCCTCTTCCTCTCTCTCTCTCCAGGCTGTCTCACTCCCAAGGTGAGTCAGGCCTCGTCATCACTCCAACAGAGAAATAACCCATCACATGGCGTTGGTAGACGGCCAGCAGTTAATAGCCCTGTCGTGATTTGTCAGGAAAATTCTCATCTGCTGAAAAGTGCGATCACTTAGAGGAAGGTTAAAGTGTTTATGGGTCGGGAGCGAGGTGGACGGTCAAATGTAAATCTGCACAGTCACGGCATGTGTGGGCCTTGGTGCGAAGTGAGCTAATAAAGTCCTAAATCGAAATTGACAGCTTGAAGAAGTTAAGGTTGTGAGCACATGAACATCGTGAGGAACAGTGAAGCCTGAAGCTGAGAACCTGTGGATCTGCTCTGGTGACAAATTCCAGCACATTCCTCCACAAGTCCATGACTTTCTGTTTGTTTGTCCTTTCTCTAGAACAAGCTCCTGGCAGCTACGACTGAAAAGGACATCTTTGCCCATCTGGGTCTCGAGTACCTCGAGCCTTGGCAGAGAAATGCATAGGCCTCTGCTCCTCCCTGACTGGATGATACCCGCAGCGTACATGAGTGTTTGTCCTGTCTGCCTACTCTGCTGTGATTCGCTTTCAAACTGCTTTTTAATTCCAAACAGTAAAGCGTTGTTGTTGCCATTACATTTTTTGTTGTCATATGGATTACATGCCGCTGTATGATTCATAATTCCTCTTATTCACTATTGTCTGTTGTAAACACTCCTTCACCATTCCGTCTTGCCTGCCATGGTCAGAACACAAAGACAAATCAGTCAAGAGTATGAATCCTCTGGGGAGCCTGCGAGGTGCAAGAGAGAGAGGGAGAGTGTGAAAGAAACGCAGAGGGAAGCAAAAGAGGGTGACCATGAAGAGAAAGGAGGGAGAAGACAGGAAGCTATGAGGAAAGTGAGGGGGAGGGGAGCTTTTGTACAGCAAAATGTTGTAATCACCCTCCTCCTGGCAGGAAAGTGCTCGGCATGAAGCTGAGCCAGGTCTCCGGGGAATTGAGAGGCGGGTAATGAGCTTCAGATAGAGGAGCGTTTGGCGTCGCCATTTAGCCTCCATTTAAACCTACGTCCACTGGAGATCATTTAGCTGGCATTCTGCTATCCAAAGACCCATAGCCTCCGCTCTTGTTCCACAATGAGTCCCCTTCCCCAGATGCTCGGCTGAAATTAGAGGCACTCAGCTGCACCGGGAAATTAGGAAGAATTCAGACGGAAGGTAAATGAGTCCACTAACCACACGGATGGATCTTGGCATTCAAAGCGACTCTGGCTCCAGTGCATAAAACATCCATTATCTTATTGCTTTGACTTTGGCTTATGTTTTATGTATAAAGGTTGTTTATCAGGATTTGTGTCCTTATTTTTTCAAAAGAATAGTTCCTCTGTCGAACAAAAGTCCACAAATTTAAAAAATGAACTTCTCCATGTGGGCACTTCAGGGTAGTCTGACATTACATCCACACCACCACATTTAAGTTGGTAGTTGTTGAGTGTTTGAGCTCCGTAAGTGGAGAACTTTGAAAATGCTGCTGCCCTGTGTTAGTTTAAAAACTGCAAGACTGCATTGTGGACGGGTGTGAACAGAGAAATGGTAACTCGTATGTGCGTCCTGATTTCTGAGTTCTTACACTTCTTTACAAACAGCACTGAAGACAATTCATTAGACTTATGCTGTAAACACAACCTGTGAATATTGGTCCGTTCTCTGGGAAAGAGGAGAGGAGGACTACTGGCTGAAGTGACTATAATTGCTGCATTGTACCTGTTGTGGAAATGCTGGTTTCGTAGGTTTAATTGGAGGATAAAATGCGATGCCACACACCCTATGCTTGGTGTGCGAATTCTGCATCAATTATTTTGCATCATTTGCACTGCCCATGTTGTCCCGTGCTAGTGATTCAAAATGTTTGTCTCTTTCCAGCTTTGCATTGACTTTGTAAATCAGTTAACCGCAGAGGAGACAATCTGCTTCCTGTTTACACCAGCATGCATATGAGCAGTGTATGTGAATGGTCATGTGACATTTGATTTCAGTGTGTTGATTTGGACGGGGATTATTACTCATATGGAGCTAAAACATTTTTGTGAACAGAGATCGCTTTTGTTTTAAAACAAGAAAGCATTGATATGGATGTAGCCTGACTCATGTCTCCAGTGATGACACGGCCTGTCCCGGGTCCACACACCCAACCCACATTCCCATCAGCCTCTGGTTTATCCCAGGGTTCCTCAATGAGGGCAGAGATAGATGAGAGCAAGCCATTCTAGTGGAATACCCTATTTAAAGATCTTTAAGTAGAACAGTCCAGCACTTTGAGGACTTGACCCAGGCCTCCTCCCTTTATCCTCTCTTCTTTCCCCCTCTCGCTCTTTGTCCCTCTTTCTCTCTCGCCATGCTGCTCTCTCAACCTTGCTGGTATAAAACAATCTGCGTTCTGCGTTGCAGTGTTAACCAGATGGAGCGAACTCTGGATCCCTGCTCTCCCGGGCTGAGTTATCCAGTGTTTTCACTTTAAAAAACGGAGATTAACTTTTTTTTTTTTTTACCAAAAAATAGGAGATCTCTCCAGAGTAAAATAAAATCAAGCTGACCTAAATAAATTTACATTTGTCCTGCTCTCTTTTTCCTAATTGTTTTTCAAGTGCAAATGGGATTTCTTTTTTACTTCACATTAAATATTTACTAGTGTAAGGGGATTTAAAGGCTGTAGCTTTCAATTTAAGAATTCACACATTGTTGTTTTGGACTTAGAGAGCCTTAAACTGTTTGTAAAGCTGAAATGTAAAGAAGTAAGTGCAGAAAGGCAAAGCTATTTGCTCCAAAGTCTTCCATTTCATTCCTAATGCAATTCATTTACAAGATATCACAGATTAAGTGAGGTCGTCTTTTCTTTCTGTTGCTTTATCTGGCTATACTGCAGGATATAACTGTGACTGCCTAACGATACAGTTGATTATACTGGAGTACTTCACCGTTTAACCTCAGTGAACTGTGGTAAGTACTCATTTTAATACAGACAATTTACTCCTGTACAGGCATTTTTACTGCTATAACACACTTTCTGTGTTTGTGCTGAATAAACATGAGTAAAAATTGGAATAGAGGAAAGGGACATAAGACCACAAATGCTAGAGTGCTGCTGCATGGTCCTTATCAGTATAAATGAACTTGTCACGGTAACTTTTCTTTATGTGACTTTATGTTGAGGTCATTGCAGAGTTGCCAGGTTTGTGACTTTGAAGAAACCTGAGATGCTTGACCAGATGATGAACAGTGGCAGTAGACGAGTTGGTGCTCCTGTGACCTGTGAGCTGTGAGCTGGCATGTAGTAAAATAAATAAAGTGAAGCCAAGCCTTCTCGTTCATCCCCTCGTGGCTGGCTGCAGTATAGGTCATATATCCAGCCTCCTCCAGGTTAGTGGATGGAACATGGGCCAAACTATGTACAAAAAGTACATGTCAAATACTTTTTCTCAAAGATGGCTTTGGTCATTTGTTCTTATCAAACTGATAATGTGTTCAAGTGTTTATAATAAGTTTGGTTATAATTATGTATTTGATGATATAAAAACAGGACATCATGATTGACAGATGCGACTTGTGATTGGTCGAGCACATGTATGTGGACCCGCAACAAAGTGGCTCCATCCCCTGATCACTACTATACAGACTCTGGCTACAAATACACAAAATGGTAGCGTTCATATACACGATATTTACGCTTCATTTCTGGATATCGGGAGGAAGTGGAGATGCATCATCCGTGAACTATGTGTGTAGCCCATAAACTATAAACATGGGGTGTAGCTCTGGTGTTTCTGAAAGACAGAGCTACAGAATCTCAGGTGAGGTTTGATTTACACATGTAGATATGAAAGAGAAAAATAAATAGAACTCAGATTCAGAAATACATAACTGCATATTGCTCTGACAAAAATGTCCCTACTTAAGTTAAAAAATAATATATTCCCATTAAAACAACCCACTGACTTTTAGTTGAATATGTTAAACTCAAACGGTTCCACAGGAGTGTTTACCAGTCCATGTTGGTCGACAAAGACCTAATAATTGTTGGATAGAAAGATTAAATAAATTCTATTCATTTATTCAGTCTCTACTGCCCAAATTCCAGTTTCACCCAGAGATCAACTTTTAGCTGAAGTTCAACTCCAAACACTCAGATCATTTGCTTATTCATCACTTTCAGCCAATCACAGGTGGCCATTCTCTATGCAAATCATTGCCTTTAGCTCCTTGCAGTCTGGCAAACACTCCCTTTTTACGTGCTTGATGTCTGAGGTCTGACAAAGATGACAGATGTGTGAATGTTTGAAAAATTGCTTGCAGTAATTTGCATAAAGGTGCTCCATTTGCTGACAAAAAAAAAAGTATTTTGCCTCCCAATCAGTTTTCATTTCTACCTATGCAATCATTTCCAATCCCCAGTTTTCTCTCATTGACATTCCAGTGCCAAATGCCTTCAATCATCGCCGTCTGACACCTTTTCTTTAAACTCAGCCAGATCCATCATGGCACAGGAGCTTTATATTGATGCCTCAATGGAATATACCAGCCGGGTCTTACTCACTGTGTGTCTCACAGCAGCACAGCCCAACTCCTGACCTTTTAACAAGCATGTGCACCGGGATACGTCTATGGAGGGATTACTGAATAGGTCTACTGTGCCCAGGCTCAGAGGCCCCCTGACACCGTCTGGGCCAGTGCCCGGCACACGCATTCAGTAGTTCAGTAATCCAAAAATGTATGTAGAGCATCTGCTTACAGTGACTGTTACAATTTTGTATTTGCAAGTCAACAAAACCACTGCATAAAGACACAAAATGACCACAGAGGGACACAAAATGACCACGGAGACAGTTAACGGCCACAGAGATGTAAAACATCCCAGAGAGTCGTTTTGTCACAAAGACCCAAATGAAACACAAAATGTCCACCCGATGTTTGTAGTCACTTTGTGTCTCTGTGGTTCTGTGAGACCTAGTAACATCACGTGATGTCACTTTCACAATCTGTAATTTCTGTTTGTAGAGACCAAATTATGTTTTAATACTACCATGCGTACTTTGGTTGTCAAGCAGCACATTCACTAGAGGGTGGTGCAGAGACCGAGTTTCAGCAGACATGGCGATGGTGGAGGAGGTTATGATGATGTGCATCTTAACGAAGAGGCAAAAGCGGCTGTTGTTGAGAGTTCTTCCTCGTGTCTTATGATCGTCTTGCTCCAACTATTGGTTACACTGCCCCCCATGATTTCCGGTGGTAATGCTCCATTTCATCTGTTTGTTTAATATCAATAAGCTTTCAGAAGACAATCTTTACAATAAAACAAATACTTGTTTGATTAAAATGTTAATAAACTTATTGCAGCAAGTGTTAAATATTGTAATTCAATGAATGGGAAACACCAAGAGGTGTAAAAACAATTATATGTTTTTTTCTCACACCTTTCACACAGATGGGGGGGAGGGGGGGGGGGGGGGGGGGGCTCTTGCAGCCTCTGTGCTGATTGTCTCACAACTTGTCGGTGTATCCACCGCAACGTAAAAAATGGCGTAAGGTCATTGTGCAGCTCTGACAATTTGTCACTGCAGATATTATGAGGTAGATTGAAAGAGCTGATGATACGTGGCGGGTTTGCATTGATAGGAAGCACTCAAAGATTAATGGGTGACTCTTTGAGGAGGACACATGTACCTGGGGGAACATACATCAGCCATAAAGCTTCCCTGGAGACGGTCTGAAGATAAAATGTGAAGTGTCACTTTTTCCTCTCAAAATCATGTGACAAAAGGACACGATGAGCGATGAGCGAGGGAGTGTGTGATGTGAACAAGAGTGTGAACACGTCCCGCAGAGGTGAGAGCGAGCGTCTGTGAATGAAAATGCTAAAAATGAGCCGAGCAGCGGCACAAAACTACATCTGTTTGATTACTATCCAAACCATCAGTGCAGCGGAGAACATCACAGTTTTCATCACAGTTTGAGCCACTGGCACATTAATCCTTTCATGTCAGACATCGAGCCACTGAAAAAGAGAGGACCAAAATAGATTGGGACCAAACACGGATCATGTCTGAGCCAAGCTCCCTGGGCAAACTTTTTCTTTGTATTGTATCAGAAGACAGTGATTTATTGGCTGTGCTGTAGGGGCTTGAGTGCATGTGTTGGGGCCAGTCAAAGCCAATGGGGGAAGGTGACAGAATAAGGACACTGCGTATCCTTGCCTCTCAAGGCCTGTCACATAGTCAACTCAGCCGGAGAGAAGTGAAGCAGATGCGTGGCTTCTGTTGCAGAGTGTCTGCACAA